ATCAACCTTACACGTCAAGGTCGAAGGCAACTTTGAGATTGGCTTGGAGTATTCAAGGCTCGTGAAGGAGGTATGGTGTTTGCTTGGGAAAAGTATCAAAATATGTGTGTTTGGATGTGTTGGGATGTTTAGGCTAAGGATAGAAAAGAATCAAGAGAGAGAAAGAATTAGAGAAGGGATTAAACGATGATTATTGGTGATTAAGCTTGTTGATGATTGAAACAGGGGAAAACGACCTCTATTTATAAGAAAAAAAGAGGGTAGAAGGATAAAAAAAGAGTCAAAATTCAAATTGGAATAAAAAAGGTCTCATCGCGGCGCGATAGCTTTGTCGCGACGCGATAGGTTCATCGCAGCGCGACAAACTTGTTGTGGCGCGATAGATAGCAGTTTTTGCGGTTTTTGTTTTTCTCATAACTTTTTGATCCAAAATTGGAATATTATAAATAATATATATTTGGAAAGCTCTTGAATTCTACTTTTCAATAAAATTAGAATCAAGTTGATATCTTTTGTAGAATAAAAGATATGATCGAAATAGTGGGACAGTGTCAGTTTTGGATACAGTTTGGTATTTTGTTCATATCTTTTCGTCTCTAATCGGAATTGGGATTATAATATATCATTGGAAAGATAATTTCAAGGGCTATCCAACCATCTAATATTTGGATAAAATTATGAGGCACGAAAATCACATTTGAACATATTTAAATTCGAATAGAATAAGGATTTTTAAAAAGAGGAGTTTTATTCAATTTCAAACTCTTTGATCTTTATCTTTCGGAAAGGATAGATTAGAACATTCTAGAGACTTCTAGAAGTTCCTAATGAACCCTAATTTGTTAAGGATTGGGATTAAGGTATTTTAACCATTACATGATCATTAGGTCGTAGGTAAGGTGGACCTAGATTCGGTTTGGGTTTGGTTTAGTATTTTGGCCATAAATTATTCGTTATAAGTCTGATTTGGGCTTATAATACATCATTATCAATCTCTATCCAAATAAACAATAATTGGACCAAGATCATGGAGCAAAATAATAAGGTTTGGACGTTTTTATAAATGGGACACGAAATGAATGATTTTCAAATATACGAAATGAATGATTTTGGTTTAAAACATTTAAAGAAAAGTTAGAAATGGTTAAGGCTAAAGGAAAATTCACGAGATTCTTCAACTCTTCACCTAACTCGATAATAAAAAACGCAAAAGGTACTCATCCCTAGGTTTGGTTTTTGGGGAGACTTAATCAGGTGTCTACGGTCGCGCTTCCATTATAACGAGGAGGAAGATTTTTTAGGCTAAAATCACGAAGTATATCTCCAGCGGCGAGGAGGAGAAACCATCAAAGGCTTCTAGATCTAAGAACAGCGATCCACCTACTCCCGTCGTAGATCTGGTTTAGAAACTTGTCGCTGAGGGTGGCTCTAATGTTGTGGTGGCTGCTGAACATGCTGAAGGGGTCCCAGATGCTGGATCTGAGACTGGGGACTCTGGCTTATTTGAGCTCACCGTTAAGGAAGTACTCCAGCCACCTGAGTCCCATCCTATGATGGCTCGGAGTGCTGTTGGACCAAGTTCTGGTGGGAAGCGCGTCAGATCTGGCCTCCCTGAAGGTCTTGAGTCGGATGTTGTGTACATGGCTTATCTTCAGATCTACTACCCCCAGTACTTACATTCCCCCAAACTAATTGGGAAACGTTAATCCTTAAACCCTAACTTTTTTTTGGTTGAATTTTGGTTAATTGTGGTTTGGATTGTTATTTGGCTTGGAAACCCTAGCTGTTGCAAGTTGATGGTGTTGTTTGTTGGCTTTGTACCATGTTACTAGGGTGTTGTTGGCTCTGTTTCCTTGAATTGTTACTAGTTGCTTATTGTTAGTGGTTTTGTGCCTTTGTGTTTCACCTGGTTGGCTTTACTTGTGGCATGTGAGTTGTTAGTATGATGTTACTTGTTGGCCTGATGTTACTTATCCTGACCATTTTGGTGGCCTGATGTTATTTTGTCGCCTGATGTTACTTGGTGTTCGTTGATGTTACTTGTTGTTTCCTTATTTGAGTACTTGTGGCATCTTGTGTTGGTATGGTATTGCCTTTAATTTCCTAGTAACATCTGAGTCCCCACTTAGGTCCTATACTAGATGCATTGAGTCCCCAACCATGTAATGCATCACTGCATTTATGTTCCAAATGATGAAGGGACTCAACTGATAGATTATTGTTAAGTGTGGATGCTATAGTGACTTTAACTTGAAGTTGTTCTTGAGGTACCCACTTTCAAGATTGCTTTGAGTGAAAATACCCTTTCTGATGGACTAGCTACAAAACGTTTTTGTTTTCATTCATTCAAAAAGTTGTGTTATTACAAAAGTGTTGACAATAAACTATACCACCCTACTACATGACTGCCTTCAAATGAGCACTAAGTATTTACCAAAATACACATAACCAACACATAAACTAAAACAAAAGACAATTTAGGGAATAATGGTTATGTATGGCAGTGTATGAGTCCCAAAAGTTGTTTACTTCTACTATTATGTGCTTAGTCTGCATCCACCTCCTTGTTTGCTTCTTGTTGATGGTTGCTTGTTGTTGGTACTTCAATTGTGTTCAAGTACTGCACCACTGTCTGTATGAGTTCCTTGTCTACCTCTATTAAGTGTGGAAGTAGGCCTTGTTTGTCCAAGCTTCTCTTTTTCATGTGTAGAGGCACAAAGTTGTTCCTACCTTTGTTTGCTAGTATTTTAAGCATGTAAGACTATAGGGTAATCCATGTGTACTTGTTGACAGTTGGATCAAATTCATCCCAAGCTTCTTCCACTCTTTTTATTAATTCATCAAGATTCTTGGGAAATGATTGATATTGAATGGATTGAATTTTGTAAACGGACCTAGATCTATCACATTTAAATCTAGACTTTGTGCTGGTTGAAACACAAACTGTATGTTGAACCCATATGCTTCACATGCTGCTTGAAATTCTGCATCTTTTGGTACTTGATGTGGCCTAGCATTGTTTCACTCAATTGTGATATCCTTTGGTAATTGCGGGGGGTGGGGTTATTTCTCATGTAGACTTGGAATTACATGATTGAGTAGCATGTCCCTTATAGCTTCCTTGTTGACTCCCTATACTACCTTTGTTTTACGTGTGCCTTTGGCTCTATTTTTGTTTTTCTTCTTTGCAACTTCATACTTGACAAAAGGGAACAACCCATACTTCCCATCATGCAAAAGGTTCTTATGTTCATCATAAAGTGGCTTGTCTATCATACCCACGAACATAGCTATTAGCTTGAACCTCTTTGACTGTTGTGCTCTATATGGGTCTTTTTCATTTGGTAGCAGATAAAAAGTTCTTGTTTCTGGGTTTAAGCAGAACTATTTCTCATCTATGTGGATTGTTTGCTACATATCTGTAAAGGTAAGGTCCCCTACAGTTGGAATAAGGTTCACAAAGCTTAGAACCTACTTGAGTCTCGTTATTTTGTGATTGCGTGTCAGTGTTGGGTGATTGGTTGCTGTGTGTGTTCTAGGTCTGCCTTTTTTTCTTAACCTAAGTATGGTGGAGGATGACACATGAAGGGCAGCAGCATAGCTCCTTTCAATGGTCCTCTTATATAGAGGGACAGATGCCAACCACTCATCTGAGTACTGTTTGGGTTTGAGACCTGTTTTACCAAGTTTTTTGCTCCTAACATCAATAACATTCCCCTCCCCTAAGTGTTTTTTAACTACTTGGAACCATCATGTTGTTGTTGATCTGTGAACATTGTGTTTTCTGGCCTAGGTGGATAAAAATCCTCTTGGCAATAAATACCCTTCCATGTTCAGCAAGATATCATCAACAAGTTGCCTCTTTTCATCAACTATCATTTCTCTCTTCTCCGATCCCTTGTTCCATCTGGTAAATCTTCTTGGCCTGCATCATCTTCATCTTCATCTGCATCATCATCATCTGCCTCACACCCATTCTTTGCCTGTTCATTGTTGCCTTGTTGGCTTGCCATGTTTGTTTTATAATTGAATAAATCATGAAGTCTCATGCTATGATTAAATCCTGATTATTGTTGTTGTTCCTCTTCATAAACTGCTGCAGCCCATAAAAATCACCTTTAAAGAATTCTTCCATGAATCCCATGCTAATTTTGCAGGTGAAGGTGATAAAGTCGGCTGTTGGTTTTGTTTTTTTTTTTTTTTTTTTTTTTTTTTTTTGCGGTCTTCAATGGAGCCTAATTTCTGTGCATATGCATGCTGCTGGATCTAATAGGGCACTTAGAAATTAGGATGATTATCTACTAATTTTAGGAAGTTGTAATTTGTAGGGCTGCCTGTTTTGTAAACTTATATTTCGTGGTTTTTGTGAACAAATTTGAAACTTATCCCCCCCCCCTTCCTCTAATCCCATTGACAGTGAAGAAAAAAAAAATGGGTTTAGTTGGGTGAGAGACCTCTTTATAAAGGGGTTCTTTTGTTTGAAAAGAATGAAAATTTTGGGGTAAATTTGGCCAAACATTTGAAATTTCGTGGAAAAATGGGGAGGTAAAAGGGAGGGTCCAAAAAATTTGGGTCCCTTTCACATAAGTCAAAAAAAAAATAAAAAATAAAAAAAAAATAGAAGGTGGGAAAATCCCACTAAAAAGTGTTCCCACTTGATTCCTAAAATTAAAATAAGGAACCACTTCCTTTCCCTCCATTTTATCTCTCCTAATACTACACCCCTCCACTTAATTAATCTCCCTTCAATCTTTTGCCTAGGAGTTCGCGTACACCTCATTTGTTGCGAGTAACTTGAAGCGGAGGTAGTATGTAAATTATAAAAGACATAAAAAATTTCAAAGTTTGACTATATGAATATTAAATAGGATGATAAATAAAGAAGGGAAGGAGTATGTCATGATTAGCATCCCTTTGGAAACCATGATCCGAGTTACTTTATTAGTGCACTTACATCGATCTTTGATTCATTATGATAGAAATTACAATAAGTTTAAAACTCAATACTTGCGTCTACAAAGTGTAACACCGTCACCAATCGAAAGAAGGGTCGACTCAATACGAGGGTCAGTTGCAAGGAAGCTATTCAAGTCCCTAATTGCACCATGTCCAATCGTTTTAATAAAACCCATAACTGGATCATTATTGAATATGTCATCATCGGTATCATATGCAACGGAACCAAACCAAAGAGTGTTGTCATAGGCAATCACTCCTCCAATCTTAACAAGTTTAAGTAACGGTTCATGATAATTGATGTAGTTCTCCTTGTCCGCATCCACAAAGGCAAAATCAAAGATCCCTTCCTTACCCTCCATTTTTATTATTCCACAATGTTAATATAATGTTTGAATTTAGATTAAATTAACTCCGACTAAAAATTTATTAAATAAGAAAAATAAGTTCAAATTAGATACGCAGTATAAAGTGAAATAAATAGTGTGCAAGTTGAACCTGGTTTATTAGATCATTCAAAAATGGCATGGCTGGTCCATGAACAAAGTCAACTTTATGGTCAACTCCGGCCTTTTTGATGAAAGGCTCCCCAACCTCGTATGCTTCTCTATCAGGGTCAAATGCTAGAACCTACAATTTCCATGAATTTAATGTTTGCTTCACTTAATTGGTAAATTTAGACTTAAATACCCCATGATTAAAGACTTAAAAAGCAAAGGAATTAGATTTTTATTTTTATTTTTCTTTTTTTGGAAAGGAAAAGATGAGGCGATGAGGCATAAACAGTATTTTTGATGCAAATATTTGACAAATTGTATGATAGATAGGCTTTGAAAAACATAATTTTAGATCAATAAAAATAAAATAAGTTCAGTTCAATAAATCAGGAACTTTGAAAAAGAAATAAAATAGAAAAACGATAAAAAATAATTTCAACTCAACAAAAATAGTTTCACTTCAGTAAAAATAATTAAAGTTCAATAAAAATAAAAATAAAAATTCAATAAATATAAAGTGAAGTTAAAAGGCCTTACACTTTGTTGTTCATTCTAATTAGGAGTTAGTGTCATATTTTTTATTTATTTATTTATTTTTATTATTTTTATTTTTATTTTTTTTTTTACCTAGTACATAAATGTGTCATATATCATCAATTATGATAAAATAAATTCATTCTAATTATCAAGCAAAAACGCCATAATCCTGAAATTTTAATTAAGGCATTTTAACATTTTACTAATGGAAAAACTTTGCCTTTCCATCATTAGGAAGAGCAAGTGCAGTAGCAAGAAGTGAATAGCCAGTGAAAACACCAATTTCAAAGGTGTTTTTAGCGTTCATGAGCTTCAACAATAATGATAGAAATTGTGCTTCATCAGCGGATGCATTCATGATACTCCTGTACACAACACACATTTCACAATTGACACAAATTAGCTACTTCAATTCACAAGGAGGCTATAGGGTCCGATCGAGTTCGACCCACAGCCATCTCGCTTGGTGGACTAGTCCAAACCGGCTTTCGAGCCGGGTTGGACGACTAGTCACCCTACATTGAGAATAATTTGAAGAAAACAAAAAATCAAAAGTAGAAAAAATAAAATTAAATAAGAGTTACATGTGTTGGTATTTCTCTAGAGTGGCATCTCTAATTTCCTTCATTTGTTGATGCTCATTGGGGTAAGCACTTGTTTTCATAATATACTGTCAACAAAATACATAAAAATATATGCATCAGTAATTCAGTATAATCATAAATCATCATAAACTCATAATTTTATTAAGTGCTCTCATAAAACACATGAAGCACTAGCACTACCGCGCACAAAAGTAAAAGGGTGTAACTAGTAAAATTTCCATTAACTATCCATTGGAGGAAGAACAAATAGAAACGAAAGGAGTCGTATAGTAAGAATAACAAACATCGACAAGGGCCGGGCTGTTGAGGATGGTCTTCTCCTTGATCTTATTCAAGTCCAATGCCATATTTGCTATATATGTTTTGTAGTTTGCTTGAGTTATCTACTTGAAAAGAGAAACAAGGACTTTATAATAAGTGGTGCAAGTGATGTAGTGTAAAGCATGAAACAACATAAATATATAGAGGGACTAATAAAGTCTAGCATGACGGTATTTTTACTGTTTATGGAATTTATCATATATTATAATTAATAATTATGATAGTTTGGAGTTTGGAGTTAAGTATTGCCCACCGTGTACGATTGTCGAGTAATAGTGCCCATCTATGACGACTCACGAGTTAGGTAGTTATAACCAAAGGATGAGATTTTTTTAAGGACCTTTTATTAGCTTGTCGACATGTTTTTGATTGATTAATGATTTGTTTATCATTTTAGTCAAAAAAAGAGAAAATGGGGCCTTGAATTTGATGAATCTTAATGGAAAAAAATGAGTACTTTATATTATATTTCTTCGTATGTGAAAAATGATAATTTTGATCTCAAAAGTCACTTCTTTGGTAAAAATGTTGATTAAATTAGAGTGTATGGGCATTTTATTAATTTAAGGTATTTTGATTGTATTTTTATTATTTAAAAAAAAAACATATACAGACATACGGTGTTATGACTTTCACACTTACTAGTGCATAATTTTATACATTAATGTTGTACGCACGAGTATTATAGAAGTTAATTTAGAAAGTTTATAATGAGACAAAACCTAACAAGATTACATATACTATATATATCACAAAATAACTATTCAAAAATAATATATATATATATATATATCACAAAATAAAAATATTAGTGATTTGGAGTGCGCATTGTGATTAAACTTATTGAATCTCAATTACGGAGTAATAGCCTCATATTCCGTTACCGTATATGAAAAAATTTCAAGTCACATTCATCTTCTCTCTTTGTCATCTTATTTTTTCTACTAAAATCTTGGCAAAATATTACTTCACAATAATGTATCCTGAGGAAGAAAAATACGGAAAACATAACTAACCGCTTGATCACCTCCAATAGATCTGCCTCTAGAATCGTTCTCACCAAGTCGTACTTGCAAACGCGCAAGTCATGCTTTTAGAGAGTCAAGAAGTTACAGTTGAGATTTTATAAGCTATGGGTCTGGTCAAAAGAGAGGAAAATTAAAATATACTTGTGATCTATTTGGTGGCATTCTTAAGCACTTAATTTGATGTAGTATTGAAAATTAAAATTCAATTCTTTTAAAAAATTCAAATATTCATATTGTATTACATGTATAATTTGACCAATTATACATTGTTTAAGAGATGGAGTGTACATTGTTTAAGAGACGGATTGTATTATTATTGTCGTTGCAAAGTACATGAATACTGTAATGTAGTATCAAGCTAAGATTAACGTAATGGTTAAGATCGCATTAGAGGACTTTGAGAATAAGGATTTATTGTATATTTTCTTGGTTCTAAAATGTCTTTTCTTTTAACCCGTGCAAAAGATTCTGACCTAGTAGGAAAATTCTTCTTATCTTTAAAAAAAATAAACAAAGTATGCAAGTTTTTTTCGTTTTTTTTTTATTTTTATTTTTATTTTTTTAATGTTTGTAATATTCTGAACTGTATGCTATTTGATTGTTTGGACAATTATACATCACTCTTCCATACTTTCAAATTTTCAATAAGTTAATTGGTTGCATCGTCTTTTCTGTATTTATTCCGAACTGTATAGCTTTTTGTCTCTAAACCTTTTCTATAGTTTTCTAGACTATGGAAATTCCATAAATTCCATCTTATGTACAGAGGAAGGCATATTGTACAATTTATGCCGCATATACTTTATATGCAATACAATAATACCCTCTGTTTTCTTTGTTTAAATTCTTATACTTTTTTTCAACAACTTTTGTGTGTACACCATGTGATCAACTAACACACAAGTAACCCTTGACCAAAGTAACCCCTGACCGACCTAAGAACCCCTGATCAAGTAACCCTGGATCGACCTATTAACCCCTCACCGACCGAGTTATCCCCGACAAAGTAACCCCTACTGACCGAGTAACCCCTTTCTTCATCTTCTTCTTCTTCAATGAATCTCTTTCGAAGCTACTCCAATGACGCCGAAGAAGACAACGAAGAAGAAACCCCAACTCTAACCCCACCAAACCAACCCAGAACCCACCAAACAAACCCAGAAATAATTTAGATGGATCCATCTGCCAATAACACCATCGAACCGCCGCAACAGACCACCATCAACCACCACTCCACCTTTGCACCACTGCAACAACCCTAATTGCAACAATTTCGCATCTAATTGAAAAAACCCAACGTGCCTCAAATCCCTAATTTCGATTCAAATAGCCATCAATAACACCGTCTAACCGCTGCAACAAACCACCATCAACCACCACTCCACCTTCACACCACCGCAGCGGCCCTAATTGCACCAATTTAAGTTAGGATTTGGAATTGAGAAGGAGGATTTGGAGGAGATAGGAGTTGCAGAGGAGAACTAAGTGAGGAGTGAGAAAATGATGATGATGATTGGGGAATATAGATTGGTCTCTCTCTTGAGGAAGATGAAGAAGAATGGAGGAATTTTCTGCCATTGTTGAAAGGTAGGAGAGAGAGAGTGAGGAAATAGTGGGAAAACAAAAAATAAAATAAAATGTGGCCGGCCACACCGTGTGGCCAGTGGCCAGCCACACCGTGTGGCCAGTGGCCAGCCACATATGAAAATTTGTGTTTTTTCAATATATTCCGTAGTCAAATGGAGTTTTGTTTGATTTATCTCAAAAATTATCATAAGAATAAAATTTCAATCTGTAGACACCTAAAAATGTCTCCCCAAAACTAAACCCGATGATGAACAATCTTTCACCGCCATTATTGGTCGGGTCGAGTATTTAGTCTCGGGAGTGCTTAAAATCCATATTTAGTCAAACATAATCAGTCCAAGCATTTATTCAAACTCAGTCCAACTCACATTTCAGCCTAAATTCTTTTTAATTCATTTTGTGTTAAGCCCGATTAATAAACATTAAAACCTTAAGCCTGAAATAAGTTCGGAATAGCTGAAACGACGCCTAATAATAACATACTTAACTGTTAAGCAAAAAATAAAATGAATTTAGACTGAATTCTGGAAAACCAGTTTGTCGCACCACGGCCGAATTTACCGTGTCACGGCAATTTGCGCCGTGACACAGAAAATTTCTAAGGTTTCTCAGCGGCGCATTTCATTTTCTAGGGTTTCATGCATCACCCTACTCATTTCCTCTATAAATACGAGGCTGATTTTCCAGTTTCGGGGCACCAACACACATTCTCATCTCCCTCTCTCATATTGTAAGCCTTAAACCTATTCTCCTAATTACACCCTTCCTTCTCTAAGCACTCCCGGGAGTCCATACAACACCTGAAATTCCATACTTAAACCAAGGTGTAAAAGGTAGAACCGATTGAGGGTTTAGACCAAACAACGCTACTTTAATTTAATTTAATTTCAATTTAATTTATTCTTTGAAGTTACTAACAATTTATTCATGATGTAGCAACTTAAAGAAGCGCGGAACGTGAGTAATTAATTCACTTAATTACTCTTATTTTTATTCTTATTGCTAGTATCATGATTAGGGTTATTATTATGATTTGATTTGACTAACGATATTATGGTTAAAATGCTTCCAATGTTGGTGTTATTTTTCTTATATTTATGATCACCATATTGCATGTTAAAGGGAATATGTAATTGAACATAACACCTAATAAGATAATTTGGACGATTGGTTCAGGTTCCTTTTTTAATCTTATTATTTAAACAAGTGATCACGATATTTTAGAATAAGTCCCTGGTTCCTTGCCGCAAAATTTCTCAATCTTTGATGTTTCAAATTTCTGTCACACATACAAGAACAAGGAACTAGGTGACAAGTTAGTAAGAACAGTTAGAAAAACACAAGAAATAATAAAATAAAACGCCAATTCCCCGGCAACGGCGCCAAAATTTGGTACGACTGTCGCGTGTCTACCAAAAATAAACCTAACTCCAACCTCCTAAAATGTAGTAGGGTAAGCTAGGGTCGATCCCACAGAGTATTGGTTTATTAAATTATAACTTGTGTAAGTTAGAAACCCCTGTTTTGAAGAAATAGTACTACGATCTAATAAATAAACTACTATGAACTATGGGACAAATAAAGTACGAAAGATAGACTACTAAAATTGAAATACGATAAAAATCAATAATAATAAAACAGGGATCGGGAGACATATTATAGCATTGGAGTATTTATTGATCATCGAATTATAAAAATTATGTTCTTATCTCAATGTTAGCCGATGAACACAAACAAACATTCAACACTTCCCTTAATTGCAAATAAACCAAACAAGCTCTTGGAGTATTGTCTAACTAACTAACAATCTAGAACAAGCTCTCTAGACTCGATTAATTAGTAGCATGAATAACTAGGAAAGTTAACTTAAGCCACAAATCTCACAAGATCGGATTTGTGCAACTCAAAGGGTTGATAATCTTAGACATCGGACAAGTTTCAGTCACCTATCAAATACCTAAGTGCTACTAAGGAATACTAACCCGGACAATTACGTATCACACGGTAGTACTCTAGCAATTAAACTAACAAATTATACTAAAGATGGCATGTCTATAATATAATCTGGCAATTCATACTAATAAAATAGATTATCAAACCAATCAAGAAATAAACATTATACTATAAAATTACCACATTCTTATTCTCACAACCATAATCCAATGTATACTATATCTCCGTACCCACGACAACTCTAGCCTGACATACTAAGAATAAGAACAAAAGTAGCAACTATGGAATTCATAATTAACAAAGCAAAAAGTAATTGAAAATGAAAACTTGATAAACTAAGTAATCAAATTCTAATACCAACCACAAAAATGGTGAAAAGTAAGAAGCAAAACGTGACTTTTTCACTTCAATTCTTAAAACAAAATTATAGTATTACCAAATTAAGTAACTAACAATCAACTTAGCTAATACCACCAAGAGAATAAGCTCGCCGCTGTCGCTGCTCTCTTTTTCCCAAGTTGTCAAGTATCAGCCCCCT